TGGCCGGGCCACCGAATTGTAATAACCCAACTGGGAGAGCGCGGTGTTCCTGCCAGCGCCGTCTTCGAAGGCTCCCCTGGGTCTCCTGCCCGAGCAAACCGGAGCCAAGCACTGCCACTGTCGGGCAAGGCGGGACCCGGAGCAGAGCCGAGAGCCGGGGAGCTGAAATGCTGCCCATGGTGGGGGTTGCACCAAGGCCCTGGGGGATTCAGAAACTACCAGCAGGGCTCCAAATCAGCACCCACAAGGGACCCCGCGCCGTCTTCGAAGGCTCCCCTGGGTCTCCTGCCCGAGCAAACCGGAGCCAAGCACTGCCACTGTCGGGCAAGGCGGGACCCGGAGCAGAGCCGAGAGCCGGGGAGCTGAAATGCTGCCCATGGTGGGGGTTGCACCAAGGCCCTGGGGGATTCAGAAACTACCAGCAGGGCTCCAAATCAGCACCCACAAGGGACCCCAGCTGGTGAGCAGGGAACGCTGATGGGAGGCCCAACCCGCCACCCCTGAACTGCGGGGAGCTCGGAGCGGGCTTGGCCCACGCCGTGGAGTGCGGGAGAGAGGCACCAGGCCAGAAGGGACAGTCCCCGCCTCCCCCGTGCCCCGGCCCCTGCCCCAGCAGCTGCAGACATGTCCTCTTCCCTCGCCAGCCTGTGGGCAGGAAGGGGACAGACCTTCAGGCGCTGCAGGAGCTGGGGCATCGCTGGCGTCAGGCGCCTCACGAGGCTGCTACGTTCCGTGATTTCTCCTGCACACGGGCCCCCGGGTGAAGGCCACTCGATGCCAGACAGGGGCTTTCCCCAGAGTCGGCACCGCTCTCCCGGGGCCAGTCCCTTCCCTGGGGCGGGCCCGTTGCTGTCCGGGCCGACCCTGCCCCTCGGCCTGTGCTAACGCACGCCCTGCGTCCCCACAGCCTGGCCAGCCCCTGGGCGGCTCCATTTCCTGCGAGGTGCCCTCCGGCAGTGGAAAGTCGGTCCCCCGCCATGTGCCATGTGCCGTGCATCCTTCCCAAGCCCAGCCTGGGCGGCTGTGTCCTGCAGTTCCCCCCACTGGGAATCACCCAGGACCACCCAGTGAGGCTACATAGCCAGCCCCACAGCGAGGGGCAGGAGCACAAAGGGGCTGGCATCAGGCAGGAACCTCCCACAGGGGCTGAGCAGCATCTGCTGGGGGTCTCGTAACCACCTTCGGGGGGGTCCTGCCTCCCGGATTCTTTGATGGGATCCCACCCTCAAGCCTGTGTCATCCATTCCCAGCCTCTGACAAACAGAGTCTAGGGACACCATCCCTGCCCAACCTGGCTAATAGCCAGAGAGACCTAACCTCCACAGATTTATCTGGCTCTTTTTTGAACCCTGCTCAAG